ATGAGGTGGAGAAGCTGGAGGAGGAGGGGAAGAAACGTGTACTCAGCCATTTAGAAGCTATGCAGGGCTTAAGGAATATGCTTTGTAACCTTCTTTGGAGCTACGGAGTGGATATCAAGAAGTGAGACAAGCGCCTGATCTGTGGGAGATGTTTTCTCAGCAGAGTGTGAGACACTGATTCAAGCTTTTATCTCCTTAAAACATCAAGTTTTGCCTTTAACAGCAGGTGGGTCCAGCATTGTGCCTTGATTAGGATACAATCAATTAGGTCTGGATGCAACACATTGGTCATTGAAGTCAGGGACTTGTTATCTCTTTGCCACATCAACATGGGGAAATTGAAGTCCCAAGGCTTTCTAATTATTTGTTTTCATTTGATTGTAATTGGTTTAAAACTACTGAGTGGATTACTCATCCAACACCAGGGAAAATATGGCAAGGTGAAATGACTCTACTGTGCTGCCGGGAACAACTTAGCCACGGATTAATACAATCATCTCCGTTGTCCTAATTTGTTTTTCTTTCACAAGGTCATAAGGCAAATAGAAAGAAATTAAAAAGATTTTTGTTGCTGAGATTTTCTGCAAGTGGAAAGAAAAACCAGCATGTGAAATAAAACTGTTCTTATAGAGTTCAACCAAATCTGCCCTGAGGTGATTTACCAAGTTATACTTTTGATCATTTGAAAAGAAATGGCATGGAATAAAAATATATGCACATACAATGCATCAAGTTCAGTTCATTGTTGAAATTAGTTTAAGAAATTTTCTAAGAAAACCCAGTAGATTGTATTAAGTCACTTGTAGACTTCATTCCTCATAGACAATCATTTTCTATTATGTTGTTGATTTTGGAGCAATCCCCCATACTGAGCATGCATCTGGTGACAGTGGAGAAGAAAACCCCACATTAAGCTCTATATCTGATATTGCCTCTTGGAAGCTGGACGTAATATTGAACACTTTTATCTGAAAAACTGTATTAGACGAGTACTGAAAGGTTTGAATGCTTCACCATTTTTTTAAATTAGGTTATGTAGCAAGATTAATAAATCTAAAATAGATCTTGCCAAAATGGAAAAGAATAATGGTGTTGCAAAGGCCCAAAGTCCTGACTTCAACATTATTAAAATGTTGTGGTGAAGCTTTGACAGAGTTGTGCATAAACAAATGATTAAACTGTGGGAGTGGAGTGGGCCAAAATGACTGAAACAATTTGTAGGAGTGACAAGGTCATTACTTCGAGTTAATGCGGCTAAAAAGGGTTCACTTATCATCAGGAGTTATTTGCTTCTGCACATTGTTTTACACACTGATCTGCACTTTGGTTTAGTTTTACTCTCGCGTTTTTTTATCTTTATTTTAATACTCAAATAATATCCTACAAGATGACTAGAACATTTCTGTTATATCTTGTGTGAAATGTTGAGTCAAAGAAGCTGCCATTTAATTTTCTACTAAGTATCTTAACATATTAATGCATTGATTCTGATGTATTGATTAAAAACCAAGATGTTAAGCTTGACTGATTTTGTGAGTAGAAAAGCACATTTCAAAGATATGTGTCTATTTAAAAACATTGCAATATTTACCATAAAAGTTTCATCTAAAATATTTTTACAATCTTTGGTGTCTGAATTAGGTAACCTTTTTGATGTTGTAACATGAAACCAACAGGCTGATGCAAACAAAGACAAAAGTGTGTTCTCAACAGACTGTAGGGAGCTATGAAGGCTTTGATGCATGAAATATAACTGAAGTACGTTTGTGCTTCAACTTGCTTAAATTATACATTAGTTTCTTCCTTGGAAATATAAATAGGTTTTTTTTTCTTACAAAGCTTGGCAAAAATAGACCAGGGTGCTTATTTTTGACATTTTATTATATATATAGTCATCAGCATCTGAACATGGTAAAGATGACTTGCTGAAGCTCAAACTGAGCATCAAAATTAGAAAGAATGGGGATTTAAGTAACTTTTAACTTGGCATGGTTCTTGGTGAGTGCATTATAAAGTGCTGATATTTGGGATGCATATTAAAAACTATCAGAGAATGTGTCAAAAGGGGGAAAATATTCTGTGTGTGTTAGTTATAAGGACAAATGTATTGAGATCAGAGGAGGATGGTGACCACATCATGAGTTTCTCCCTTTTCATGCCCATAGCAGCCAATGACACAGTGGTATTCCTACAGCATGAGCTGGTGCATTGTCATGCATGAAGATTATTTTGCTATGGAAGGTATGGCTCTTCTTTTTGAACCATGAAAGTGACCAGTCAGAAAGTCCATATACTTTGCTGAGGTCATTTTCACACCTTCACGGACTCTGAAGGGGCCGACCAGTTCTCTCCCCATGATTTTGGCCCAAAGATGACTCTACCACCTCCTTGCTGACATCACAGCCGTGTTGGGATCCACCACCAATCCACTACTGCTTCCATCTGCTCCATCCAGGGTTGCACAGCAATCATCAGTGAACAAGTCTGTTTGAAAATTAATCTTCATGTAAGGCTGGGCCCACTGCGACCATTTCTGCTTGTTAGCTGGTTAGGGGTGACCCAAAAGTAGGTTCCTGCACCGCAAGCCTCTGGAGGATCCTCCACCTTGAGGCTCCAGAGGCACCAGCAGCTTCACATAACTGTTTGCTGCTTTGTAAGGGCATTTTAGCAACTGCTCTCTAAATCTGATGAATTTGTCTAACAGAAAACTTCCTCATTATGCCTTCATCTGTACAAACTCATCTTTTTTCTGAATCAGCCACAAATCTCTTCTCAGTATGATGGTAACGCTTCAGTTTTTGTTAAATATCTAATGTTTTCATACCTTGTCATACGGCACTACACTATCTGATGATTTTCGTCAGCAGAGAGATTCTTTCTCTTTACCATATTGCTTGAAACCTGTGGCCTGCTTAATATTTAAGTGGATTTTCTTTAATTGAGCTCACCAGACAAACTAATCAACCCAGTTCTCTGAAATTAATTATAGTCATTCAAAGAGCACTGACACACAACTATAAATTTAATAGCACAAAAAAATGTGATCCTTATGAAACTTAAATCCAATTTGCATAATAATTTGAAACGGTGTAAATCTGTACATTCTGTTAAAGCAGAATATTTATGAATTAAACCATCTTCAACAATGGTTCTCGCCTATCATGCTCTATTAGTGTTTTTGTTTTTCTTTCTCTTATGTCACAAGTTCCACAACCTTTCAGAAGACAATAGATATGAAATGCTAACTAGATGCCGTAATTAGTTATGTTTAGGAATCTGATGTTTTTCTTTTCTACTCTTGGTTACAAGCATATCAACAGTTATGAATGCATTTCTTAGAAATTAATGTGTGAAGCCTTTATTGGCCACACAGTTTAGATACAACTTTCAGCTTGCCATGGCTTAAATAGATGCATAAATCTTGTAGGCTATTGCAAATGTTTTGCAAGTGACCAGGGAGTCCTACAGTGGATGTGCTTGAGGGTCTGTCTGTGACTAATGTGTTAAGTTTTTAATTACAATAAAGCTTTAGACTTCACAGCTGGAGGTCACAATCTCTTTAATCTTCAATTAAATAATTCATTTCAGTAGTGGTTTCTCCATACTATCGCCTGCGTCCTCACTGCAGGATTCCTGTGTTGTTGCACAGAAAATACATGCAAGACGACATCTTCTACAACCCCCAGCCTAGACATCCTCCAACATTATGAGAAGCAGCTTGTCTTTAGCTTCCATGTGGCAAAAAGAATTTACATCAGTGACCACATAACATGCAATGGCATTTAGTGTCCCCACAGCTCAGTGGTGGACGCCACTGGCTCTGTGATGTACGTTCAATGCTTCTGCTGAGGATGATTTGAGGTGACAGTGTATTTGGTCAGGATTGGTGTGACATGCACTCTGTGAGCAGGAAATCATTCTTGAAGAAGCAGCCAGAAATAATATTTCCACTGCGCCATGCACCTGAGGATAAGGCTGAAAACTTTTCTTTTAGATAAACACGGCGCATCAAATCAGCACTATGGGGGACAATACGTTTTGGTTTGAGAAGAAATGTAAAAAGGGAAAGATTAGCAAACCATTACAGATTAGATGTATGAAAACAATCACAGACTGGGGCATACTTGTAGTCTCTGACAGGCTACTAAAACAGCTGTTCTGCAGTAGTTATTTTCATGAGATCAAATGGAAATGAATCACTTTTCACGCTGCAAGGAAGTGTTTAACATCTAACTCATGCAATCTCCAAATCTCGACCTGATAAAAGCTCATGGAGGTATGCGTCTTCTAAGTCGAAAATACAATAATACTTTCAACATCTTTTGATAATATCTTATTGTATTTTATCTGCATGTGAGAAGAAAATTAAATTAAGTGTTTCTGCTTGAAGAAAACTCAGCCTGGTAAAATCAATCTTGTCTGGATTAGACAGGGAGTCAGATCTTAACAGTGAAGAAGTTGATTTATAATTTATCTTAAGTGTTCAAAACATGTGCTCACACGCCTTAAATACATGTGTACATCAACTCATGAATAAGTTAGACAACCCATTCAGGATGCTGAGATTTAGACACAGAAGTCTTTTGTGTTGCACTAACTGCTACACTTGTGTCCATTTGTTATCTCCTGAGGCACAAAACAGGAATTCATTTATCTCTTTTTTTTGTTTAGTGGTCTGGAGAACATCAGCTGGAATCGACTAGGCTCAAGATGATCTATTAATCATACACATGCTTTCTCTCTGGAGTAAATTGAAGAGTCAATATGAATGTTTTTGCGTGCACCTATATTCCCTTCTGTTCCAATAGGAGGGTCACAAAACTTATTAAGGGTGTAGTTATTGCTTTGAGCATTCAGCTGAAACTGACCGAACAACCATCTGTGACCCTACAAGGAAAAGAACAGCCAAACTAGAAATCCTTTGCAGTTAGTTTTAGAAAGCACACAAGGAAGGCTGCTGCCTCTCACACAATATACAGTACATAAGGGTAGTTACTTACCTGCGTCTTTGTGATCAAAGCCCTGGCTGGTCAAGACGAAGAGGAAATCCTGACAGGTCTCCTGATCCAACAGGGTGCTGTTGTGCAGGCAGAGGTCAACAATTAGGGTCACAGCTTTCTGACAGACCATGTCATACTCCTCCTGGTCAGAACTCATGCTCCCAGCTGCATCCTCAGACGCGTGTGCTCATCCAAGGGGACTAGCGCACACACCCCCACACAGACATCCAAACACAAAAGCACACACGCTGCAGCCCTGCATCAAGATAAATGCAACTTGTCTCCATCCACGGCTGATTCTTCTCCTTCATCTATGCTCTCTCTCATCAGCGTTTACACACAGATACACTCAAGTGTGCTTGTGCATGAGTGGGTTGTTTGTGCTATTCACCAGCAGTGCTTACACTGTTTGCAGACATGAATCACATTTGTCCCCAGGTGATGTAAGGATAGAATTATTGCATCACATCTTAATGAAGCAACTCACTTGAACCATAAAAATCACCGACAAGACTTGATACATTTGCAAATGTCAATCCTTCCACCCTTACCAGCCTGTGCAAAAAATAAAAAATAAAAAAATAAAAAATAAAAAACACCCACCATAATGTCCACTTGTTTTTCACGGGTCGCCTGACATGACGGGTCTCTGGAGTTCCGAGCGTCTCATGTGATAAATTTCCCCAGAGATGAACCACCTGTGACGGCTGGGTCTCCCAGTCCCCACTGACAGAGCTTCAGATGTGATCTCTGTTTACAGCATGTGTTGAATTGGTTGTGTGACAAAGATGATGGCAACAGAAGAAGGTATAATAGAAAGCTGTGTGTTCCTTAGCAGCGTTTATGTGAACATTTGCTGCTGATATAAAAAAGGTACAATAAAAAAAGAGAGGAAAATGAATGTGCATTCATAAATCCCAATGATTAATGGGTGCTAGTGATGCACACTGAAACAATAACGGCATTCATCGTGATAGACAAGTGATCAAAATCAATAGAAAATATCTCTGTTACAATGTTAATCATTCCACTGAACTCCAATCCAGAACCACACAGCCTTCTGGGAAATGTAGGCAGACTAAACCTTTTAGCGGCTCAACCTCACAGCCCATCAACCAAGGCTGGTGGCATCAACAAATTCACTTGATAATACAGAACTACAGTACTTTATACTATACAGAACCCAATAATCAAACTAAATACATATTATTCACATTATCGGCTTACCTGAAACAAACAAAAAAAAAACATCTCAGTTTAGTGATACAGTTTCTACATAATGCTCATACACGTCCAGCTTAGAAACGATTATCTCTCTCTGTCTGATAGCGCGAGAATTTCCGAAGAACTCCTTTTCTACCTCGATGTCTCTGTTATTGGTGGAGCGATGCTCACCCCTACTGGTGAATTACTCACATAATTGCCAAACAAAACCTAGCTAGTAAAGAACACACACAAAACAATATACATTTTCATAAACTATTATGTTAACATGACCTATGTGCCACATATACCTGGCAACAAGAAGGTGTACACTTCAGGAGAGTTTAATCTAAATCAGTCAAAAATCTGGCATGTGTTTGCTTATTTAATGTAATGTATGTCTATAGTTTTAATTTATCACATGTATAAATATTTTTTATACATCTGCTTATTGCAAAAGCGAGCCATCACAGTGACAGTTTCTTCCCCCAGGGTGTCTCTTTGATGAACACAATGAACACTTTTCAGTCTAAGCAGACAGCTACTCTGCCTATGGCACAAAATAAGCACATTGCACTGTCACAGCAATTCTTCCTTTTTCTCACCTATAATACAATATTAAAAAATGGCTGCAAATATATGTACAGATTGTCCCTTTATTTTTGTTTCATTTACTCTAAATCAAAATGAAAATATACTGCATTGATCCCCAAAGAAAAATTGCTTATTTGTTTACAAGCTGCTCAATTCAAATTGTTAAATCCAAATAAAACTAAAAATTACTAAAAAGCGTTAAATCATAAGTAATTTAAAATTGACCGACTATAAAATAAATACTATAATAAGTGCATACAAATGTTCAGAGTTGGGCCCTGTATAGTTTGATTGCGACAGGTAAAAAATATGTATTTCTAATATATGTCGGTTCGTTGTGGCTCCTTGCAACCAAAATCAAATTCCTTATTTGTGCACACATGACTGGCCAACAAATTTTATTCTGATTCTAACTTAGTGACTTATTTATGTTTTAAATTGTGACTCTTTTGGACTTCAATGCAAAACTCTTAGGTTATGTCACCTTTTTCAATAAAACTGGACATACTGTTTTCTTTATTGAATATCTCAAAGTGAAGATTTGTCAGACTCAGCTTCTTACTCATTGGATGAGAACTCTTCAAAACTACTAGCTATCAAAATAAGAGGGCAGAGTTATGTCACCAGACATTTTATTGTCAGCAGGTGTTTAATTAATGCCAGTTGTCACTTATTGAACACCGGCTGGTTCTGGTGCTAAATAAATACCAGTTGGTGGTGCTTTTAATGACTACTAGGTGTCAGGTGGCACTGGAAATCGCCCCGTTATTATTGGAAACAGCTGTCCATATGCTTGCTGCAATAACATGAAAGGTGGGTGGGGAACATAGTGCTACATTTAAAGAATGTGAAGCTCATAAAAGAGCAGAGCAGATAAAAAATATATGTGTAAAGGAAATTGTTACCTATGTAAGTAATTTAAATGTTAATGCTAAGAGCATTTCTGTGCACCAAACTCCATCTCAAACAACAGAGCAAATGCAGAGCTAAAGAACCTTAGGAAGTACAATCATTGTGGAGAAAAAGAAATGTGTTGCATTTATTGTGGAAGTAATAAATTGTTTAGCACAGACAAATAGTAGAAAGCACAGAGCAAATTAAAACAATAATTAAAGCAGCATAAAAATACCTTGAGATGGAAAACCTGTCTTTTGAGTCAATTAGTGCAGATTTAACAACTGGGATAAATGAAAGTCAACAGTCCAGTAATGGTGGAATTTGGTGGTTTTATCCATATATCAGTGGAATGCAAGAAGCTTAATTGCTAATGGCCAAGAGTTATTTTTTTTTTTTACTGAAAGACAGAATGTTAAACCAAATACAGTCTGAATTCAAGAAACCTGGTTAAGACCATCACTGGATTTTATTCTTAATGGATGTATAGCACAGTGTAAAGATAGAAATCCAAATGTAGGAGGAGGATCTTTCTATTTCCCGCAAATTAGGATTTATAAAGGAAAGATGCTCAGCCTCGTGCGTGCACACGGCTTTATGCATCCGATTTTTTTTGTGTGTGTGTGTAGCACTTTTCTAAATTTGTTTGTACGCAAAGTTTTAGTCTGAAAACTGCATGCTCTTTTATGCATGAGGCCCCTGGTGTGTAAAAGAATACTTTGAAGTTGCTGATACGTCAGCAACAATGTTGCAGGGAACAATATTATTTTCATATGTGGACGCTACCTCTTCCTGGTGTTTTTCATTTAGTTTGTTTTTCAGTGGATTCTGTTGCAACATCAATGTTTGATTTTTCAGTCAGTTTTTTTCAGCTTCAAGTTAATTCACTGACCATTGTTGGTTTGTCGTTCGTTAACACAGGAGTACCAACAAATTTGGTATCACGTCTATGTAATTACAAGAACTATACTGAGCTTAGCCAGCTGCAGTTTGACTACATCCATAATTTGATTAACTGGGATGTAAATACTTTGATGTCCATGTGAGTGGGCTACTCCTGATAAATCGCTTAGATAATGGAGAGCTTATTAGAGTCCCCTTCCTGTCTTCCAAGAGGTTGAATGTGGGGTCTGCTGTGCTTCCTGTCACTGTTAGATTGGATCTACTCTTCTTGGCGTATCCGAACAAGCGGCTAATGGATTGTTTCTGACTGTGGCTTTTCAAAAGAGTCATTTGCAGAACATTTTTTGATGCCACAAATACAAATTTCAATCATCAGTACCGCTTTGCTGTCTGGTCGATACACAAGGGTTCTTAAAGCATGTCTAGAAGTCCATAGATGACAACAAATGATGCAGAAATTAGCCGATAAATAACTGAAATGATTAAAAAGGAAAATGGGGGCAAACTGGGTAAAAACACTACATACAAGTTTTTCAATATATTTCCATAAAACCTTTAATTACTAATGTTGTTTGTGCTCTCATCCTAAACATTATACAATAAATTTACAGAGCTTATCAAAGGTTTGCCAACTTCCACACATTAAATTATTCTTGTGCTGCTAGTTTTTCTTTGCTACTGTAATTGTAAAGATATCAAGATCATCTAAAGGTGTGTGAGTGTTATGTGAAAAGACTACAAATAATCCTTTGTTAATTAATTTATTATTAACATATTATTAACCAACAAAGGGAAGTCATTTGTAGAAAGTGTCCTCACTTTTTTTTAAGCTTACTCTGCTCTACTAGTTGAATTTTAGAGGTAAACTGTGGCCTAAGTTCTGATTAAGGTTAGGATAAAAAATAGACCAGTACTGGTTAGGCTTAGGGAAATGCCTGGTTTAGGCATTAATTCAGTTCATAAAATGAAAAGTCAATACAAAGTCCTCAGTTTGTATAGACGTGCAAGGATGTGTGTGTTGTAGAGAAAATCCACAATAAATTCAAACATTTCCACCCAGTTCTTGTTTTTAAAAATCATTAGTCAGTTGCTGTGCGATCATTCCACTGTGGAAAAAATTAATTAAGCTTAATTACAAAACCCCCCAAATAATCATCACTTGCGTTACTTTGATTACTTTTTTTACACATCTGGACTTTTAGACCAGATGTTCTTTGGTAGCGTGTCTTTCATTACTCTGGTATAGCTGTGAAATAACCTGCCTTGTAAATGGAAAATGTACCATCACCAAGAAAACTTTCCAATTTCCTTCTTCTTATCGACTTCAGTAAGAGTCTTATCTATACATTACTGTTTGAGTTATACTTCAATACACAGGTATAAGTGAACTATATATTATACAGATAGAAATCAGTAAAGGAAGACTGTTGCTGAATATCATGGTTAGTGCCACACAGTTATTCTGCTGAGGTGTAAAGTATGTAAGACGGCCACCTTGGCTGAGTTTAAAAGAATAAAACATTGATTAAACAGCTTAGCTCTACCTACAAAGAACATTTTATCATCCATGTTAATTATTCACTAGGCTCAGTGCTGTCTCTCTTATAAAAGTGTTTTCCATTTCTAAATAATTTAGCACATAGAAAAGTGCTGAGAAGAAAACAAATAAGTATCACATTGCTTTATAATGGTGAACAAATACGGTAATCAACATGAATGCTGAGGGAGCTGGTTTTAAAATGGTAGGACTAATAATCCAACAGATTTAAAACTCGCTGATCTCATTAGGAATTCAGCCTACAAGCTACAACTAAATTAGGAATGCCAGAATGACCGCACAGGCACTTTTATAGCAGGTGGAATGAAAGGGCAGGAGCATATAGAATTTCAGTTTGATATGCAAATACTTCTCATCTTTAGGGATGGCAGCCCAGTGGCCGCAGACGCTGAACTTGATTCA